TTAATGTTCACATTGACAGTGTGAATGATGTGAACATTCAAAATATCAATGTGAATATTCATATTGTCACATTTATTTATTTATTTATTTTTATTTTATAAAATTATATATTCCAGTGAGATCTTGTGGGCTGTATTATATTATAGAATAATGCTTGGGACCCCCTTTTGGGGGTCACTCCCTCACCCCTTTTGTCACGTGACGGGTGGTGATTGGAGGAGCAGGAAAAAAAAGAAAAAGAAAAAGAAAATGTAACCAATGAAAAAGAGAGGGGGTCAAAGGGGGTGGGGGAAAAGGGGATGAATCATTGTTGTATATTATATCCATTAAATTGCCAGCTCGTGTCTACCAGATTATTAACAATGGGTCCCACCCTAATGCGACGAGCCCCCCACCATTTCCAGTTGCAACTGGACTTGGGCCCACTCGTCCAAAAGTTAGTGACGAACAGCCAGAAAAAAGCGTCCTATACCATTAGGCCCCTGTTTTACAAGTTTTAAAATTAATAATTAGAATTAGAATTAAAATTATTTTTTCTGTTTATTTTTTTTAAAAAATTACTTATAAATCTCATATTGAGAAATAATCATTCATTTAGTCTCAATTTTTTTTTTATAGGCCAATAATCCTATTAATTTTTGAAAAGTATATTTAATATATTATTTAAAAATTAGATTCACGATTATACCTTCTTCTCTTCTTTTTTTTTTTTTTTTTTTTTTTTTTTAGAAAGATAAGATACACAATCTATGTGAATTAAATTTGGATGAATTTTTATATGAGAATCCTTTTTATTTAAGATGATAATGACTTGCATATGAAAATTTTCAAATATTTAAAAGGATTACAAAAATTCTTTAGTAAGTTTTAGACAAATGTATAATTTTAAACTATAATATCCCAATGTAACACTCATACGTAATATTTCAAAAAAATTCCTTAGTATATTTTTTTTAAACGTTATACTCCAATATAAAGCTAAAAAAAACTCCTTAATGTAATACTCCAATGTAATACATAAAAAAACTTCTCAGTATACTTTCTCAAACATAACACTCCAAAAAAAGGATGTGGGATTTTTTAAACATTCTAAAAGGATGTGGGATTCTTCCAACCATTTCAAAAGAGTATACAAATTTCTTAATAAGTTTTGGACAAATATATAATTTTAAATTGTAAGTGTTGCGTTAGAAAAAATGTACTAAGAATTTTTTGTGTTTTTGTGTGTGTTATATTAAAGTCTTACGTTTTGAATTATATTGATTGAAGTGTCACATTTGAAAAAAATACATTAAGAAGTTTTTTTGTGTGTTACATTAGAGTGTGTTATATTGAAGTATTATGTTTAACACTAAGGAATGTTTTAGTGTGTTACATTGGAATGTTACGTTTTTGTTCGTAATGTGAGATTTGTTTCAGAATGAGAAAAAATCCAAAATCTCTAGGGGGTGTTTGGGAAGAAAAAAAATAGCCTAGTTTAGGCTAAAAATCACAAAAAGACAAAATAGGCTAAAATAGCTAATAAGACAAAATATCACATCAAACCCATAATCATTTCACTTTTTCTCTCACAAACATCACATCCAACCACAAAAAAATCCAATCTTCCCAAATACAAAAATTTTAACCTACTAAAATAGCTAAAAACTAAAATAACCTACTAAAATAGCCACTTCCCAAACGATTGCCTAAATATATAATTTCATATTTGGAGAAACTCACTTTTATCCCTCAAAAATTAAACCCAAACATGCAAATGACTGTCATTTTATGTAATTTTTATTTTAATGAGACTTTTGGGTTCATAAAAAAAAAAGACTAAACAGTTCAGAAAATTACATTTTGAGATTTATTGGTGCTTCACCCTTATTTTTTTTTATTTTATAATTAACTTATTTTAACTATTTTTATCTTATAAACAAACAACTTCAGTAATTGTACCAAACAATTCCATTAACAAATTTTTTGGTTAAAAAAATTGATAAATGATTAATTCTGGTGAAAAAAATATTTCTAAAATTAGACAAATGTTAATGTGAGCTTTTAAGATATATAAGAATTAAAGTGAAAAATAACTTTAAAATAAGTGAAAGTATTTTAATTTCAATAAAAAATATATATTAAATTTAATATAAGGGTTTTTTTTTTTTGTTTTTTGTTAAAGTTATCCATAAATCCCATTTTGAGGAATGTTAATCTATTTAGTCATAATTATTTTTCTCATAGATTAATTAGTCCCATTTATTTTGGTAAGGTGAATTTAATATATTCATTGATATATAGATTTTTTTTAAAATTTTCAGCCATTACCAGCCCCCCACGTGGAGGTGGGGGTGCTGGGGGTCTCCCCTGCTGGGGTCTCCAGCAGGGCCCTATATTCATTGATATATAGATTTACGGTTATGCCCTTCATTTTATTGTGATTCACTATTATTTTTTTACGTGCTAGAATTGTAAGTTACACAATGAATATTTTTGAGAGATTCAACATATCACAGTTACACTAATTCCTCAAATAACTTCATTAAATTGATGTTACCCATATTCAACCAATGTTAACCAACAACCACATTCAATAGATGTTACTCGTATGTAGAGCTTGTTTGGGAAGTTAGTTATTTTTGTTGACTCTTTTAGTCTCGTTAAAAAAATTATATTTGGGAAGATAGTTGACTTTTTACCGATGATTTAACGATTGTAAAATAAAAAATGAAATGATTATGATTTAAATGCTATTTTAACTTATTTTATTTTATTTTAGCCCAAAACCTTCCTTCCCAAACAGGGCCTCGGATTAACAAAATCAAACACAATCTAACTACCCACATATACACCAAAATAACAAAATCACACTATTCCTTCACTGACTACATTGCTATTCCTTCACTAACTACATTGGATTGATGTTAATAACATTTAAAAACAACAAAACCACCATGCTTGAACAACATGCCAATATAGAACTGTGTAAACCCATTTGAATTCAAAAGTGAACCCTAACACAACAAACCCACAAATAATAGACGGAAAATGTTTCATATAAAATTGCATCGCATACATGTATACATTTAGTCACATGTACAGAAGTTGACATATACCCAACGTTCATGTTCAAAATAAATTCCATAATTTTGTGTTACATTCAACAAATTAAATATTCATCTCAATCCTAATTAACTAAAACAACAATCAAATTACACATTCAATAAGAAATACACACAACCAAACAAATAAACACATCCATCAGATGTGCATTATGCCATGTCCCTAAACATATAATAAAGTTCAGTAATCACAATCATAAGATGTCAACATAATATTTTACATAAAAAAAACTATAAGCCCTAAATGTAACATAATCTACCTCATTAACATAATATTTCACATTCAGCCAACTCCACATTCAAAGCATGATGTGATTTTTTGCTTGAGCTTAATATTCCACATTTATACAATGTGACTGTTAGAACTTTATTTTTGTTACAGCACAATCATAATTCAAAATATGTCACACATATAAAATACCTTTTTTTTTTTTTCGGTGAAGAACCTACAAAATCCCACATTAACGTAAGGAACGTCCATGTTCAAAATTAATTATATCATCCCGTGTCACATTCAACAAATTATATATTCCATCTCCATTCAAAAAAAAAAAAAAAATTAATAATAAGGCACATTCAAAGAACTATCATGCAATCGCAGTACAATTTAGCAACATTGAATAAATCAAGCCAACAAAATTGTGATGAAATAAGCAAATAATACATTAGACAAAATGTCATATTTGAATTTTCAAAACTCATGGGTTTTGATATGAAATTCTTTTTTGTTTCTAATTCCACCTCAATCCGTGTGTGTATGGATATTCAATTCTTGTGGGTTTTGATATGAAATTGTTTTTATTTCCAATTCCATCTCAATCGTTATGTATGGATATTCAAATCTTGTGAGTTTTGATATAGAATCCTTTTTGTTTTCAATTTCATCTCAATCATTGTGTATTGATATTCAAATCTTGTGGGTGTTGATATTGAATCCTTTTTGTTTGGAAATAGCTTCAAACATGTGATTCTCCAACCATACCAACTAGGAGTACAATAAATCTTTAACACGCTTTTGTCTAAATGTGTAGTTTTGATAATCTATAGGCATAACCCACTATACACGTGTTAAATTTGGGATAATTATGACATTTAAACCCAGATGGGACTAATTGATTCATTAGAATTTTTAAAGGACTAATTAGTTCGTACAAAATGGAAATGAGATTTTTTAATGTCTCTCCCATTTTTTTATTATATATTTTCATCTTTTTTTTTCCCCTGAAAACACTTCTTAGCAAGATCTTAATTAAAATTGGTGTTCCGACTAATTAGAGTGTATAAAGAGCATCTTTAATTATGTATCAATATTTAAATTTGATACCAAAAAAAAAAAAAAAAACTAAAAGTATAAGTATGTTCGATTCATTTCATTAAATTTGCAACAAATTAAAGAAAATATAAATTTTTACCAAATCAATGATAAACCCAATCTTGCCCCAAATTTTCAACATTCATATTTTTACTCTTTTTATTTAAATTTGATAAAAGATTAAAAAGAGTAAAATTAAATAAAAAAATTTAAATAAAAAATAATAATTAAAACAGATTTCATAGAATAATGAATTTAAATTTTTAAAAAAGATTTAATGAAAAAAATAAAGAAATAGAATGTTGATAGAAGATTAAATTTTTAACTAAATTTTCAGTTAAATGTGATATATAAAAAGAAAAAGACAGATTTATTTATTGATAGGAAAAAGAAAAAGAAAAAGAAAAAGAAAAAAAAAAAGGAGATTAATGAGATTATAAACGTGATTGGTGCAGCCAATATGCAATGAATATTACCACTGAAAACAAGAAATAAAAGCGCCCAATTCCTTTCTTTCTAATAATAACGTCTGCCATTTCCATTTCCATTTCCATCATCTTCTTCACCTCCCTCCCTCCCTCCCTGTTGCCCATTTTCAAACCCTATTCTCTCTCTAGAAATCTGTCCTAATCTAACTTGATTCAGAGCTAGCATTGTGATTTTGTAGAGCTCTGGTTTTCTAAACAAATGGCCTTGATTCAGAGCTAGCATTGTGATTTTGTAGAGCTCTGGTTTTCTAAACAAATGGCTTGAATTGGAGCTTCATCATTTTGTAGAGCCCTCTTCATCAGTGTTTTTCTTCAAGGTAACTTTCTTCTGCGTTTTCCACTTTTCTTGCTAATTTTCAGTTCCATATATGTAGTTTCTTGCTCTCGAGCTTGTTTGTTTGCTGGATCTGGAAGCTTCGATGCATTTTCATGTTAAAAATTCTGTTTTTTCTTTTCTTTTCGTCTTATGCATAGCTTATTCATTTAACTTTGCTATATGTCATTATTATTAAGCTGAATTGATTCCGATTGCATTATGATACACACCCAAACACGCATATTAAAAGTATTTGAAGGTTTGAGACTGATATTTCAGTTCACAATTAATTTCAGTGTTTTCGTCAAATTCCCGGCATATTTTCTTCGATGAGGAACGTGGACAAAAATCTTTGCTTGTTGATTTTCGGGTTTCTTTTCTTGCCCTCTTTGCTGCATTTAATCTCAGCTGCAGATTACGTTCCAACTGATAAAATTCTCCTTAACTGTGGGGCGTCTCCGGAGACTACTGATTCTGATGGTCGCAAATGGACCTCAGATATCGGGTCGAAGTTTGCGTCCAAGGGAGGGAATTCATCTACATCTACTGCTGCTACCCAAGATCCCTCTGTTCCTCAAGTCCCTTACATGACCGCTCGGATTTTTCAATCTGAGTACGCCTATAGTTTTCCTGTTGCTTTGGGTCACAAATTTGTCCGTCTCTACTTTTATCCCGCATCTTACTCGGGGCTAAATGCCTCAAATGCCATCTTCTCAGTTACTGCCGGACCATATACCCTTCTCAAGAACTTCAGTGTCGCCCAAACAACTCAAGCCCTGAACTTTGATTTTATCATGAAAGAGTATTCTGTCAATGCACCCACTGAAATTTTGAACATAACCTTCAAACCTTCTTCCAGTTCTCCCAATTCCTATGCCTTTGTGAACGGGATTGAGGTAGTTTCGATGCCTGACATTTACAATACCGCTGATGGGGCTTCCATGATGGTTGGGGAAAATGTAGCGTTTATTATAGACAACAGTACTGCTCTTGAAAATGTTTACCGGGTGAATGTTGGTGGAAATGACATTTCACCCTCTGGTGATACGGGGTTGTTTCGGTCCTGGTCCGCTGATTCACAATACATCTTTGGGGCAGCATTTGGAGTTACAGAAACTATTGGTTCAAACGTGACATTTCAGTATCCTTCTGGCATGCCCACTTACGTTGCACCTGTTGATGTCTATTCCACTGCTAGATCAATGGGTCCAAACCAGAACATCAATTTGAATTATAATCTAACTTGGATGTTCACGGTTGACTCAGGCTTTTCTTACCTGGTTAGGCTGCATTTCTGTGAGGTTGAAGGAGTTATAACTGAACATAATCAAAGGGTATTTTCTATCTTCCTCAATAATCAAACTGCAGAGAGAGAGGCAGATGTGATTGCTTGGGCAGGAAAGCAAGGAGTTCCGTTGTACAAGGATTATGTGGTCCTGGTTCCCACTGGTGCTCCGCAGCAGGATCTTTGGCTTGCACTACATCCGTACACTGCCACAAAGTCCCAATACTATGATGCAATTCTGAGCGGAGTGGAGATATTCAAAGTAAATGACACTTCTGGAAATCTTGCTGGTCCTAATCCAGTCCCAGCCTCAATAGTTGGAAATGAGCCATCATCAGCTAATCGGTCATCAAGTTCTTCAAGTCATTCAAATTATCTGAAAGCAATTATAGGCGGAAGTGTTGGTGGCGGCATTGCTGCAGTCCTTATTGTTGGTTTATTAGTTTGTCGTCGTCGTAGGAAGGCGAAGTACTCAAGTCCAAGTGATGGGCCATCTGGGTGGCTCCCTCTTTCCTTATATGGACATTCACACTCTGCAGGCTCAGCAAAGACTAACACCACAGGAAGCTATGCCTCATCCCATCCTTCAAACCTTTGCCGCCACTTTTCATTTGCTGAGATCAAGTCTGCCACCAAAAATTTTGATGAGGCTCTACTCCTTGGGGTGGGAGGTTTTGGCAAAGTTTACAAGGGAGAAATTGATGGTGGAACAACTAAGGTTGCAATTAAGCGTGGGAATCCCCTTGCTGAGCAAGGTGTGCATGAATTCCAAACTGAGATAGAAATGCTCTCAAAGCTTCGACACCGTCACCTTGTTTCACTGATTGGTTATTGTGAAGAGAATTGTGAAATGATCCTCGTCTACGATTACATGGCTCATGGAACCCTTCGAGAGCACTTGTACAAGACCAATAAGCCTCCACTGCCATGGAAGCAGAGGCTTGAGATATGCATTGGAGCTGCTCGTGGTTTACACTATCTTCACACTGGTGCCAAGCACACTATCATCCACCGTGATGTCAAGACAACTAACATCCTATTAGATGAGAAGTGGGTGGCAAAGGTTTCTGATTTTGGCTTGTCGAAAACAGGTCCTACATTGGATCACACTCATGTCAGCACAGTTGTAAAGGGAAGTTTTGGGTATTTAGATCCAGAGTACTTCAGGAGGCAGCAGCTGACAGAAAAATCCGATGTTTACTCATATGGAGTAGTACTCTTTGAGATCTTGTGTGCTCGGCCAGCTTTGAACCCAACGCTTCCAAAGGAGCAAGTGAGTTTGGCAGAGTGGGCTTTACATTGCCAGATGAAGGGAATTCTTGATCAGATCATTGACCCATATCTAAAGGGGAAGATCACACCAGAGTGCTTCACAAAGTTTGCGGAGACAGCAATGAAGTGTGTGGGAGATCAGGGGATCGACAGGCCATCAATGGGTGATGTGCTGTGGAACCTTGAGTTTGCTCTGCAACTGCAGGAGAGTGCAGAGGAGAACGACAAGGGCCTTGGTGGAACGGACATTGAAGAAGGTTCATTTGATGTAGCCTTTAAAGGAAAGAAGGATCCAGATGCAACTCCTGGTTTTGATGGTAATGTGATGGATTCAAGGAGCAGTGGATTGTCTATGAGCATAGGCGGCCGCAGCCTAGCAAGTGAAGATTCAGATGGATTAACACCAAGTGCTGTGTTCTCACAGATTATGAACCCTAAAGGACGTTAGATATCAATAGTGATAGCATTTGCTGCTCGGCGCCGATATATATGTTTAAAGGCAACACTCAAGTAAAATTTCTCTCTTATTAGATATCAATATTATCCATTTACTTACTGTATTATTTTGGGCTCTTAATATGTTTTGATCAAAACCATTATATATCTAGAATTTGTGTCTCAATTCGTTTGGCTTGTGTCAATTCTTCATGCTAAAATGGTACAAACGGTACAATGTGCTGTCTGTCTTATTACAAATCAACAGTCGGTGAGTGAAAAAGATTGAAGAGTGACAACTAATAATGGTTGATGATGACAATGCAAAATATGTATGTTATTGCGAAATCTGTATTACAGACGTGGATGGGGTCCATGTGTATGGTGCTATCCAACTTTCTGTTAGGTGTAAAGAAGTGTTTTCTTGAAATGGTTAAGCATTTATAGACTTGATAGCAAGAATATATCTACATCAGCTGGTTGAGAATTTAGGGAAGAGTTAGTGGGGTGCTTCTTGTTACGCGGCTTGGTGTTTGAGTGAGAGAAAAGATTTTTTTTGGCTAGAGTAATTGTAATATATTCTATTATATAAAACACACACCATCCAAAGGTTTTGTCACGGTTCGTTCTTTCTTTCTTCATTTTTTTTTTCAACAATACCCATAAATTGACACAATATGTCGGTCATGTCATTGTGAGGTCTCAATCTTTTTCCATTACGAGTATTCAATCTTTTTTGTTTTTTGGGTAAATATATTCAATCTTTTTCCATTAGAAGTATTCAATGGGTGTGGATTTGTTGGGTTTAAGGACATTTTTGTAGGAGTTACTGGTCTATGGGTCTAAAATTGGGACCAAATTCCCAATTTTTATGTACAGAAATCTCATAAGAATGATGTGAGTTCGTAAAATTAAAATACCTCCATTTTTGATTGATAATTAAAAAAAAATATCATTGTCAATTTGTCATTTTATTGTGTGGGTCATTTTCAAATTACTTACCATTTCTGATGTGGGTTTCTCTAAACTAAGATTGTCGATTCATCTTCTTCTTTTCTTTTTTTTAAAATTTTTTGTAATACACAGTCCCTCTCAACAAAAATGATGGGAAAAGCCAGCAATAATTCCATCTTTGTTGCATACGTCTTTTTCTTGAAATCGTTTTCACCACACCCCCCCTCCCAAAATATAGGGAAAGTCTATAGTACATTTTGTTCAAAAAATGTACGGTACATAAAAAATCAATGGCTAGGATTGAGCCACATCATTAAAAGTGACCTGCTAAACAGGTCACTTTTTATAGTTATAAGTTAAAATCATATTTTTTCATAACTATAATCAAATTGATCATAACTTAGTTATAACCACATCTCATATGAGGAGACAAAAGATATGGGTTGTGTTGGTTTGGAATGTTTGAAAAAAGTCAAAAAGTTAAAAAGTTAAAAAAATTACTATCCTATTTAAGTCATTTCATTTTATTTAAGTCATATCACTTATTTAACACATCACTTCAAACACAATCTATACTCAACTCATATTTCATAAAAATTTAAAAAGTGCACTTATTTAGATCATCCCAAACAACCCTACGTTTGGTTTGAGTGTTCTTAATTTAGTTTTTTAAAAATTGAGTTTTTTATTTTTCGTATTTTTTTGTTTTTAGTGAATATTTTTTAAATTTTAAGCGACTTTTTTATTTTTTTATATGCACCTTACTTATATGTATCTAAATAGTAAAATATTTGTGAAAAATATTTTTAAAAAATAATAAATACACAAAAATACGAAAATGTACTGAATTTTTATATTTTTCGTATTTAGTGTATTTTTTAAAGATTTTTTTTACAAATATGATACTTTTTAAGTGTATTTATATTAAGTGTGTCTAAAACTTAAAAAAAAAATTGCTTAAAATATTAAAAAAATTAATTGAAAATATTAAAATACGCAAAAATAAAAAAGTAAAATTTTTTAAAACCTATTTTCTGAAAACCAGAACCAAATAAGCTGAATTTTTTTTTTTCAAAATAAGTAAAATAATTTTATTTATTTATTAGAATTTAGCAAATTTTATATAAAATAAAAAATTACATTTTCAAAAACAAAAATAAATGCTAAAAGAATTTTGTTTTTAATTTTTAAAACTTTGTGAACATAAACATGAACAGAGTCTCTCTAGAATTGTTAAACTTTAATTTTTAAAACTTTGTGAACATAAACATGAACAGAGTCTCTCTAGAATTGTTAAACTAACAAATCTCACCAATTCTCAATACTCATCAATGTGACTCGCAACATTAATTTGAAATTGAATCTACTAGAATAATATATTAAGACCAATTGTCACATATAAAAAGGACCTAAAATGTAATGCTACAATGTTAAGATTTGTGCATAAAGTATTTTGAAAATGATGAAAAGATTAAAATAAGTTTTTAAATCAGTGAAAAGTACATTGAGTTCTATAGGCTCATTTTTTTTTTTTTTTTTTGGGGGGGGACAAGTAAAATAATTTTATTTATTTATTAGAATTTAGCAAATTTTATATAAAATAAAAAATTACATTTTCAAAAACAAAAATAAATGCTAAAAGAATTTTGTTTTTAATTTTTAAAACTTTGTGAACATAAACATGAACAGAGTCTCTCTAGAATTGTTAAACTAACAAATCTCACCAATTCTCAATACTCATCAATGTGACTCGCAACATTAATTTGAAATTGAATCTACTAGAATAATATATTAAGACCAATTGTCACATATAAAAAGGACCTAAAATGTAATGCTACAATGTTAAGATTTGTGCATAAAGTATTTTGAAAATGATGAAAAGATTAAAATAAGTTTTTAAATCAGTGAAAAGTACATTGAGTTCTATAGGCTCTTTTTTTTTTTTGTATTTACTTTTTTGGGGGGGGGGGGTTGTTTCTTTTTCTTGTGCCCCTTTTAACATTTGTTAGAAAGACCCTTCTCTCATTTCAATATTAAAAAAAACAAAACAAAACAAAACAAAAAAAAAGAAGCTAGTGAAAATTAACTAGGAATCTCAATACAGATCACCGATTTCTAAAAAATTGGTTGTCTTTTTTTGTCGTTTTCTTGTAACCTTGGACATTTATTTGCAACTCTTCTTTCATTTCAAATTATATAAATAAATAAAAAAGAGTCGAAAAAAAGAAGAATAAACCAAAAATGGAAAAAGAAGCTAGTGAATTAACTAAGAATCTGAATACTTCAGGATCACCATTTTCTGAAAAATTGATTCCCAACAATACCCTGGTTTTAGCCCCTGCAATCCTCAAAAACACAAGACACTTCTGTACTAATTTACAATCTAAAGGCAAAGAAAACAGACTTATCCCACAAAAATGCCAACAAGAAGAATAAGACTATTCCTTGGCCACTTGTGAAGACAAGAACCCCAACCACCAAACAACTATTTCTGAGATGTCGCCACTGAATTTACAATCGCAATTACCTTCTTCTGTAGCTCCGGTTTGTTGGCTCCTACTAGTTTCTCAACTTGCTGCCCATCTCTAAGGAAAAAGAATGTTGGAGTGGCTTTGATATCCCATGTTGTACTGAATTCCTGCACCAGAAAACAACAGAATTTATTTCCAACCAATTTCGCCAATGCCACAAAATCATCCTGATACATCAACAAAAGAATGAATCAGACAATCTTAGACCACACCTTTTTGTAAACTTTGTTGAACTTAAAAATTGCTCAAGTGAGGCACATAATGAGAGGTAAGGTCTTTGAATGAGTTAGTTTGCATTAAGATTGCGTAACTTACAGTTAGCTCATCAACATCAACGGTTAGGAACATTAGGACAGGGTATTTCTCAGACAGCTCGGAGTAGAACGTCGCAATCACTCTACAAGGACCACACCATGATGCACTGAAGTTTGCAACCACCTGTTGACGAATCAGTGCCAGTTAGGAGGAAAACCACACTCCACATACAAAACAAACTCCAATCAGGAATAAAAAATTTCTTAAGAAACATGTATATGGTAGTAGTTGCCATGCCTAATGCTCATATTCGAGAGAAAGGAAAGGAGCACATTGCTTCTTTTTCTTTTCTTATAAAAAGGTGTGTTAATGATTTCTTTTTTAATTGACGTTGGCTTTTCCCCTCAGTTTTTTTTTTTTTTTTCTAAAATTATATGAAGGGGCTACCAGTGGGTGGCAACCCTACCTGAGCATGACCGTTGTAGCCTCTGCCCGTCGGAGGGGGTTAGTTTGGAGAGGTTTAGGTATGCCTACACATGCAGGGTATATACAGGTGGTGTCCCTTGAGACTGCAGGTCAAAACTCAAACCCATGTCCTCCTACCCGTCGGAGGGGGTTAGTTTGGAGAGGTTTAGGTATGCCTACAGAGGCAGGGGTATATACAGGTGGTGTCCCTTGAGACTGCAGGTCAAAACTCGAACCCATGTCCTCCTACCCACCACCTACCCCCTAGCCCATAGGTAAGTTCCTCTTTCCAGACACAAAAAAAAAAAAAAACTACACCTTTCTGAAAAAGTGAAGCAGGAGATAACACTTGAGCTATAAGCTGCTGCTCATTACTGAAATACCAAAGTCAAATTGAACACAAACAGAAAATGAAGTTTCAAAGACAACCTGCATTTAATCAGTTTTTCATATCTAAGCATTTTGGCCCCATTAAATATCATTATTCATGAAGAAAATTCCACACCTTCTAAGTAACTGTGAGCATAAGCAACCCATTTCAAAGCTACTATGTAGAAAAGGCCAGCAATTTGAACATGGGTTATCTCTCCAAAGGAGGCATCAATGGCATTTTTTCTAAATTCCTCTACCCAGTTCATGCACTACTGGTTATTAAAGTGAATGAAAGAAGGGATGTTCGAACATGCATCCCTACCTGAGCATGACCGTTGTAGCCTCTGCCCGTCGGAGGGGGTTAGTTTGGAGAGGTTTAGGTATGCCTACACATGCAGGGGTATATACAGGTGGTGTCCCTTGAGACTGCAGGTCAAAACTCAAACCCATGTGCTCCTACCCGTCGGAGGGGGCTAGTTTGGAGAGGTTTAGGTATGCCTACAGAGGCAGGGGTATATACAGGTGGTGTCCCTTGAGACTGCAGGTCAAAACTCGAACCCATGTCCTCCTACCCACCACCTACCCCCTAGCCCATAGGTAAGTTCCTCTTTCCAGACACAAAAAAAAAAAAAAACTACACCTTTCTGAAAAAGTGAAGCAGGAGATAACACTTGAGCTATAAGCTGCTGCTCATTACTGAAATACCCAAGTCAAATTGAACACAAACAGAAAATGAAGTTTCAAAGACAACCTGCATTTAATCAGTTTTTCATATCTAAGCATTTTGGCCCCATTATATATCATTATTCATGAAGAAAATTCCACACCTTCTGAGTAACTGTGAGCATAAGCAACCCATTTCAAAGCTACTATGTAGAAAAGGCCAGAAATTTGAACATGGGTTATCTCTCCAAAGGAGGCATCAATGGCATTTTTTCTAAATTCCTCTACCCAGTTCATGCACTACTGGTTATTAAAGTGAATGAAAGAAGGGATGTTCGAACATCCCCTTGTTGACTATGAAAAACCTTTACCAGGGAAAGTGGCAACAAAATTCAGGAAGTAGCACAATAACCTCTGTTAAATTAAATGAATAAATAATAAATACAGCTTAATAAGGTGTCATCATCTATATTGTCAACTCCAAAGTAAAAACTGCAAATCGATTCAATGTTGGAAAGGTTTTCAACTTCTTACAGTAGGTGTGAGTTCTCATAACAATTTCCCTAGTAGAGAATGTAGTATTTTTGTAATAAAACAAATCAGTTCAATCTGACAAGACGGGAATAAGGAACCATGCTGGGGACAGCAATGGTTAAAACACATACTCTTGCCAAAGTATGACCATGCTCATATACTTACAATCTTGCCATCCCTGCTTGCTTCTGACAGCTTTTCATCCCAACTTTGTTTTGTCGTGATGAGGTGCACATTTCCACCAGCAAACTCAACATGATGATCAGAGTCATCACCATCATTCCGAGGCTACAATTATGATGCAAATTACAAATTCTATGTCAAATTCAATAAAAGGTTAGATTCTCAAAAAACCACACTACAATTACACCAAGTTTCAAAATCATCAGTCAAGGCAGAAATGATGGTTTTTGTGGAGGAAGGTTTCCAAAATTCTTTTCGTATTGCTAGGCAATAGACAATGAAAATCAAAGAGGCTATAGAGCATGGACCAGTAATTAACAATTCTATTCCCACCAATATGGAAATTGAGTCAATTCTTATTTTTTTATTCCATAGCATTCAAGGCAATAACAATGGCCTTAAAAAGATCATCATATAGAAAGACAAACCAATTATTAACGTGAAATAAATCACTGAAATGCTAAATCCACATTGTAAATTTGTGTATGCTGTTTTTGTAAACATGCCTAAATGCTATTTACCCTAAACAAATAAGATTTCAAGATAAGTAACAAAATGTAACGAGGACCATTTCTATCGTTAATCCCTCTATTCTTCACTGAGATGTATGAATGCATGAAACAAACAATAAACTCATTTTCCAACTGCCATTAAAAACAAGAATGGATTCAATTTCCATTTCTTCAAATGCCAACTACACAATAGATTATTAGAAAAAACAGATGAAGCACTCAAATACTTTTACACCACATCTCTTCCATCAGGCAACCTATGTTGCTATGCCTTTCCTTTTTCCTCGACTTGTCATGACACAATCACCCTGAAACAATACCAAGCTTATAAAGCATTGGAAAACAAACTGTACAAAAAAATATATCTTGCTATTACCTTTCCTCATATGATGTTTTCAGTAATTTAGAGAAAGAAAAATCAGTAAACACATAATTTACCGGGAAAAAGGAACAGCGTCATACAAAAGTACCTATAAGATTGGAAAGAGGGACAAATAACCACCGCCAGACTACCAAAAAAACATACACACATAAACATATAAAGATGAAGAACTACCAGCTCTTTGTTGTTTGAGATGATTTTTTCTTTTCATTTTTGGTCATTCATTAATGAGTAGATATTGGTTTTTAAAAAGATTACCTTAGAACAGCAAAGTCCCATCCTGATTTTCAGAAACTGATTACGCAGAACCCTGGCTGCAGTACCCTGAAATTCAGATTGAATTAAAGAAAATGCAATGTAAACATCGAAATTATCACACAACCTAAATCAATGAAATTAATTGAAATTCTAAAAAAAAGCAGTATGAGATCCCAAGTCCAAGGAAAGATAATGAGTTCCTTGACTAAGTCAAAATCCCAGAGGATATGTAACTACACGACTTTTCTGACAACAAATATATGTTTTTGAATTCAAATGCATACAGGAAGTATGTTGCTCTAGATTTACAACGCAATTAACCACAACAATAACACATCTTCTGCAAGAAAATAAAAATAAATCAGATACTACAGGTAAGGGTTTAATACCAGTAAATTCCCATAACCAAGATTACAAATAAAACCCAGAAAGCCCATTGAAGTCTAGCCAAAATTATGAACTTCGCTTCTTTTTTTTCTTCTTCTATATTTAAGAACAGTAATATAGCATTGAGAAGAAGAAAATGTTGGAAAGATAGTATCAATCAATCCACATCTAAATTGAAAGAAAACTAAACATCAATTAAATGAAAAACATTAAAAAATAAAATAAAAGGAATAATACAAAGAATCAATAGAATGCAAAAATAGAATGCAAAAAAGAACAACGTAGATTGAGAAAAATTAACCTCAAATGGAGGTTGAGCGATCGAATTAGCAAGTAATTCCAGTTGGCATTACAGGGTGGAGATTCAAATCAAAGCCCAAAATTATATATATGGTGAGTCACAATATATATATATATATATAGAGAGAGAGAGAGAGAGAGAGAGAGAGAGAGAGAGAGAGAGAGAGAGATGATCTGACGAATAATACCTAATTTTTTTTTTCGTAGCTAAAATATGAATTTGGAAGCCAAATTTCGTTAATGCCCATATGGCATGGAAGTCCATACTGAGAAGGGCGTTTTGGTTATTTTGCGGAAAAAGTAGTTAGGATAAGTTTGGCATAATTGAAAAAAGATAAAAAGTCAAAAAGTCACTATCCTATTTCAGTCACATCATGTTATTTAAGTCACATTACCTCTCTAACACATCACTTCAAACCCAACCCAAACCCAACCCATATTTCATAAAAAGTCAAAAAGTATACTTATTTAGTCTTCCCAAACTAGACCAAATGACTGATATTAGATATCTTAAATAATTTATTAAATTTTTTATCAATTTTTTTAAATGTGTCTGAATGCATATAAATTTGTATAAATCTTACATCACGTAAAAGATTTGATATAAAATTTAATAGATTATTTTAAATTTATAACATTTTCATAGTAAAATAGTACTAAGCCTCCGTTTGGGAAGTGAGTTGGCTTTTTGGCTTTTTGACTTTTTTGACTATATGAGCCTAGGCTCAAAAGCTTGGTTTGGAAAGGGCTTTTGGCTTTTTGGTTTTTTTATTTTTTTTGTGAGAGAAGAGTGTAATGATTATGGGGTTGGATGGGATGTTTGGTCTGTTGTGGCTCATGAGCCTATTCTGTTTTTTATTGCTCATTGAGCCAAAAAAACCTAATAAGCCCTTGCCAAACCAACCCTAAAACTAACAAAGGTTACGAGAGGAAGAGAAGAGGCCAATCAACAGTATGTCTAAATCATTTGGTTACCCATTTATGCTGTGTTTGGTTGGGAGATTTGGAGAGGAATTTGGAAAAAGAAAGGGAAAATGTGTGTGAAACTATGTGAAATATAGGCATGATTTATTCACATTTCACCTATCTTTTCCATTTCCCTTTCCAAATCATTTCCTAAATCTCCCAACCAAACATGGCATTAGTTGGCATTTCTCCATGGATCCTACAATTTCACAAAATAATAATTAAAATAAATATACATTTATAAATACAACTCTTTTAAAGAACGAATTATGTTTTATAATTTTCAAAATTATAAACATTTATTTATCAAAAAAATTTATTTAATAAAATTAATTAAAAAAATAAAATTTATAATTACTCTCTTATATAATAATAAAATTATTTAAATTATTAATTTAAATAAAATTTAAATAAAATTTAAATATCATTAAAATTTATTAATAAAATAAATTATTTATTATAAAATTAAAATTTTGAAGCAATGAAATGTAATTTTTAAAATTATAAAATATTATTTATATTTTAAATAAATATTAATATTTTTTATTTATCCTTAAAATAAATATAAAAGAAGTATTAAGAAATTATTATAAATTATAAATTTTATATCAAATAAATAATTAAATATCTCATGTGGGTGTAA